AAAAAAAAAAAAAAAGAAAGAAAATCTAAATGAATTAAGGATTTCATTTGTCACAACAGAGATGAGCCTTGAAGATATGTTTTTTTTGTGTGTTTTTTTTGTTGTTTTTGAGTTGGAGTCTCACTCTGTCACCCAGATTGGATTGCAGTGGCGACTGCCGGCCACGCAGCCTCGGCCTGCTGGGCTCCGGCGATCCTTCCGCCTCAGCCTTCCAAGTAGAATTACAGGCATGCACTACCACGCCCGGCTGATTTTTTGATTTATTGTAGAGATGAGGGCTCCCAAATTTGCCCAGATGGGTCTCGAACTCGCGGGCTCAGGCAATCCACTCACCTCCGCCTCCCAAAGGCACAGGATTACAGGCTGAGCCACCAAGCCCGGCTTGTAGTATAATTCTTTAGTGAAGAAATAGTCACCCCTTAATTAGTCTGCCCAGAGAGTCTTCTATTATCTTTTTTCCGTCTCTGTGAGGTGGGATGGAGTTATTGTTACTCCTCATCTGTGGGTGGGGGAATAATGGTCAGGCTAAGACTTGAAGTTGTTCTAATTCCTAACGAATGGGGCTTGGCCATAGTGGACTCCATGTTACTTGCTGACATAAAATGAAGCCGGGCTCAGTGGCTCAGCCTGTAATCCCGTGCCTTGGGAGGCTGAGGTGAGTGGATTGCTTGAGCCTGAGGGTTCGAGACCCGCCTGGACAACTTGGTGAGACCTCATCTCTACAATAAATCAAAACATTAGCCGGGTGTGGTAGCGCGTGCCTGTAATTCTGGCTACTTGGAAGGCTGAGGCTGAAGGATCGCCGGAGCCCAGCAGGTCGAGGCTGCGGTGGCCGGGAGCGGCCACTGCACTCCAGTCTGGGCGACAGAGTGAGACTCCAACTCAAAAAAATAAATAAATAAAAATAAAATAAAATAAAACTAACCTCCCCTTTAAAAAAAGATTTCACTACTAAAATCCCATTTGGTACTACCTCATCTGTCACCTGGTCTACTGTGGTGACCTTGTTACTGACCTTCTTATTCATTACCTCTTCAGAAATGCTCCTGATGACTCAGATCACTCTCCATCATGTAATTCTATTTTCTTTGTAGACCTTGTCACTTTCTAAAATAATCTTATTTGGGTTTTTTGTAGTATAATTCTTTTTTTTTTTTTTTTGAGTTGGAGTCTCACTCGGTTGCCCAGACTGGAGTACAGTGGCC